TAAGGATACACTTTTATTAGATAGAGATGATATTATATTGTAATTTCTTTAAGATATCTCACATATTGGCCGATATATATAAAGGCAATCGGAAGTTCGAAAATCTTTATATTAGGTATATGTAGAATAAGGGAGTATTGATCTGGTTTTACCCATTTTTGACGCAAAAGCACATTATTATCAGAAAATGTGTCTATTTTAATTTTAATGATGGACTTTATAAGTTGTCCGATAATTTCGGTAAAATGTCAGCTCCAGGCACTGAGGATTATATTGTATAGGGGGGACTTGAAAAGTTATTTTCCGATTTCGAAAATTTTTCGCCGTGAGATGCAATACCTTGCAGGCAATAGTTGTATATTATACCGATATCTTTATTAGTTCTTAATTTATATACTGAAAGACGACTACAACGGTGCAAAAATTAGATCGAATTTAAACTTATACCCATATATACACTGCAACATTAAAAAGTCAGGATAATGTTATGTACGAGATTTGGTTAAAATTTGGTAAAGTAGTTACTGAGATATTCTCCAATGTTTTCACCGATTCCTATGAAGGTTTTCCTTACTTAATAGGTAATTATATCAATAGACAAAAGTATTTATTGAAAAACTACCAAAACATTTTCCCGCAACATTATTCTATTCATTTTAGTCAAACTTTTTTACTATTAACTAATAAATTAAGTCTATCTATGCTAACTCAAAAGAATTACGTCACAAGATCACTTTCACTTTATTATTCTTGGTTCAATGATGTAACCTTCTGTACTCTAATGCTTCACTTACTGACCGACGTAAAACCGTAAACCGTATCAGCTGATACGACCTATTTAATGAGGGCGCAATGAAAATGAACACGTAGAAACGAGGCAGCTGATTGTTCTCTTACAACGCAGGCTTTCCAGTCTCGATATTTTATGGTAATTACAAAATAAACTTGAAGATATTTCAAATATTCTAAAACTAACTCAACATAATAGTCAAATAGAATTATTTAAATCTATTTTATTAGATTTAGGTAGACTATCTTTAAAAATTGGATTTTCGTTTTGATCTTTTACATTAAAAAAAATTATAACTGAAATGCTAAATATGTGCAAAACCATCTCCATTAATTAAGCAATGGCAACATTACTCAAATGAAAACAAAAGGGGTTAACTTTTGACGTACGGTAGGGCGGCAAGTCGAGCACTAATTCCACAATAATGTTTTGAACACAAAGACGACTACACGAGACGACTACACGACAGTAAAATTTTCTTGATGGCAAACGCTGTCTTGAGCCAGCTTCTTTAGCATTTTGAAGACTACAGCGACATATTAAACAGCTGATGTACACAATTTCGTTGTTGCCGTACTAAAACCTTTCACTTCTTTAAAATTTAAATACTTTCTTCAAAGTGAAATTTTTTGTGCCAAAAATAAGTAAATAGGTCAATTTATTTGTTTTAAGTGATCAATTGTTATTACATATGATATATCAAAGCTATTTTATGCTTCTGTTGGTAAGATAACGTTAGACTTGTTAGAGCTTTGAATAATTTTACATTTCATATATAAGTGACAACACTACAGCTGCCCATTGTTGTCGACAAAATTAGAAATTTGTCTAAACTGTGCCCATAAGAATGTGTGTATGGTAATATATAACAAATGCTACCTGTCACTTGTCGTCGTCTATGTGTTAGGCGTTTTAGACCCGAACGACTCCGAAGTGATGTATGTATATATGTACCAATGTGTTTAGAAGCGCGTGGTATACCTCACCCTTTTAATATCGATGGTTGTCTCGGATTAACCCATGATTTTCTCCGTTTAGGATTCTTAAAATAAATCCATTATTCATCCCCAGTGTCAATGCTATGTAGAACTAATTTTCTTTCGTGTTTTTAAGCAAAATTTCACAAGTTTTTTTTATCGGTTTTCCATTTGTCTTTCATGCAATTCATGGGGCACGCATTTTTCACACTTTTGAATCTTCCCCATATCTTTCAAACAGTCTCGAATTGTTTGTTGTGCAACATTCAACACGGCTGCCATTTGCTTTTGATTCAAAGTATCATCGTCATCCAATATTATTTGTAGTTCGGTGTCTTCCAATTTTCTTGGTGGTCTTCCACGTTTTTCATTTCTCCTGCATTATCTCTGAACCATTGAAACCATCATTTGCATGTTGATTCTGATAGAGCATGATCACTATATGCCTCGACAAGCATTCGATGCGACTCTTTAAAACTCTTTCGGTACAAAAATTTGACATTTTCAACACAATGAAAAAATATGATATTGTTTGTTCAATGAATGTAAGGTTATTGGATTTGTTTGTCAGATATCATGCCAACCAAACAGAAAGAAAATTAAGGCTCGTCCACAACAAATGTTCCCTACCAACACATTTGTATCTTAACGCTCACTTTAAACGATTAGGAAGAGCCCCCATATGGTAGGTTAGTTTCGATGGCTGATCCTCAAGATGGGAATCGCACTTGGACTACTATATGTAGTCCTTTGGGAAGCCATAAAAAAAACTCCTGTATCAGATCCTATAACGACAATGCTCCTTGAGGCCTATACAAATCTGCTTAGGTGTATAATTTTTATACTCAGCAGCTCAGTGGAATAACTGAAAGGGCGAGCTCCCAAGTGTTTAAGCGTTGATCTTGCAAAGGCGGGATAATCAAGAAGGAAGTATTGAGATGTTTTCACCTTGTCTTCTTCCATACAGTTCTACAGCAGGTATCCGGTAAGATTCTCAAGTTTGAAACGTAGACGCTTAAAGAGCAATAACATATTAGAACCCACGCAACCAGGGAGAGGCTAGCCTTTTTGAAAACAAAAAGCTAACTGAAGCTCTTACGATCGACCTTGGGACAAAAGGATCTTGCGATAGGACAAGAACCGATGGTGGCTCAGCGCTGGCCAAGCAGGCCAAGTAGCACGAAGAAACCGCCAAATTTCGGTTTGACTCCATGATCCAAAAAATCCGGTAGGACATGTTAAGTATAGCTCGATACGTATAGCTGTTCTAAAGCGGACCATGCTCTGCCATGGAGACTCTCACAATATGAAATCCTTCGTCAATTGAAATGTTTCTGCGACTTTTCTACAAAAAAAGAGTTTTACTTAAAATAAGTATTGAATGGAATAAATAATAGTACAAATATATGAATAATTAAGAATTAACTATATATTTCATTACATAAAAGTTAATTTAAATTTACAAGAAGTCTTACGCAGAGGTAGGCCTTTGAAGGAAGATTATACCTCCTTCTGCTAGGATGCCCATCAGAGAAACCGCAATTGCGTCGTCTAGGGCGAAGATAGAGGGACGCGAGGACTTCATCTAATTGCCGCGTTAATGGCAGTTTGATCGACCCATTTTCAGGAGGGTTATTTATGTGGTCAAGTAGATAGCGTAAGTAGAACGGCAAAAATTAAAAGATTTTTATCGAAAGATCATATACAAGTACAGATTCAATAAAATTTTTACTATATACACATCACCTACGGTTAAATTCCACCCAACAAAACAACAAAAGCAAATCAGTTCATACCGTTGAACGCAGGTCTTCCAAAACTCTTGGTATTTGAAACTATTGTAGAAAAGCCATTGCCTCAAATATATATTGGCTTTTCGCAAGTATCATATGCCCTCCTATACTAACATATTGTGTGTTTGTGCTTTAGTGGATGGCAATAACGAAAAACGAATTAAAAACCCCGAAACAGTTGCAGCGAGTCTCCTTTCTGGAGATTATAAACGCTAAGGCTTAGGAAGGTCATCCTCGATATCCAGTCAATATATATTGAAATAAAGTAAGCCATTGGAGCCAGGATCAGCGTCACTGCGGGTATTAACATTAATACTAGATCTTGTTATTCGATTGGCCGAGAAAAATATTCATGGAGGCAACCCCACGTTTTGCTTTCCCAATAAAGAAGAATGGACCAATGGATTTGTCATCGACAGTTCAAACAGCGAAATTTATGTATTCACCGATGGATCAGGGGGTAAATCAGGAACAGGAGAAGCTTATTCTGTAGCAATACAGAAGGTAACTTCAACTTAAACGACTACAATTCAGTATTTAATACCGAAATTTTTTGCATAGAAGGCGCCAAGTGGAACTGGGAACCAGGGAATCGAAGGAAATGAAAGTCAAATGAGCTGGAATGCAATTCCTCTAAGCTGCCTTAGATCATTCGGCTCCTTCAGGGGTTTCTTGTAACAATGGGCAACTAACGATTGTATAGTCATTCTAAAAATTACTCAAGACATACACATGCAATTATAGTATCAGTGGAATACTCAAATACAATAACAAATAAATGAATTTAACCAAAAGTTTTACCTATTCAAGATAAAAAATATGAGTAAAAAAAAAAATGATACGTCAAATGTTTATAACAACGCGCCAAGTGTATAGGATTTCTTTGTGTGTTTATTATCACTTCTTGTATCAAAATTCTTAAAATCTAACTATTCTTATTACTGCAAAAGCAAAATATATTAAAATAGCTCTTTGACAACAGGTCCAGCGAAAGAATATTGAGGAATGATATGTGAGTATGCGTCTTGTGGTGTGGCATAAGACGAGCTGGCTGGTGCTGGAGCTGGAACTGTGTAAGATGGTGAAGGAGCAGGAGACGAACATGGAGCTGGTGTCAATGACGGCTGACAGCTAAATAAGTAGTTCCTTGGACATGGTGGTGCTGGGATCGAAGATGGTTCATTTGAATGAGTTGGGGCAGGTGCTGGCCTCGAGTGTGGATATGTAGAAACACCGCTATATGGCGCTGGAGGTGTAGAAGGGGAGTACGATGACCGTGTAATTCGCACTGATTGTGCTATTCCAGCTGGGAAGAGTATTCCCTTTGACGGTTCCATTTGTATAATTTGAGACAACACAGAACTCATTGAGAAAAGGAGAATCAAAAACTTTATCATATTAAAATTATATACAATACAATACTAAAATGAATTTCTACTATTATGAATTTATACAGTACAATGTTCTTTTATACAGATTTTGATTTCGCTGTCGTTTACAAAACGTCATATTGCAAAAAAACATGTATACATATGTGTTTGCATGTATATATGTATGTACATATGTATATGCTGGGAATCTAGTTTTGTATACCACGTAATCAAATATCGTACATATGTATGCATTTTTATTTATCTGTTAACAGTTTTTATAACAATATCTTACAATTGATAATTTATTAATGTTATACAGCAAATATCTTATTTAAATAAAATTTTGCTTGGACTGCGAACTGTCCAAACTCTTATTTGCATAATAAGAGGGCATAATAAAGGGTATTAACATAAATTCGTAAACATGTCGAAAATTGCTGCTATCGACAGACTTCAATGAGTAGTTTTGTATTTCAATGGGTTAAAACGTAAAAAATACTAACACTTAAATGATCACAGTAACTTCCACTTGAATTCTTCTTGGTTTAATAAATAAATTTAAGAGTAAAACTGAAACTATATTAATTATCAATAAAGGGTAAGCAACTTATTCTCTTTCTTGACTTACCCATGCATGAACATATTGCTTTATACAGTTATGTAAAATTTGCGGTGAACTGGGTTGACTATGACATAACGTTATTTTATAACTTTTTGCTACTGCATAATACTGTTTTATAGATAATATCTTTTTGTTTCTTTAAGATTTTCACTATCTCTGGTGGGCATTTTTTAATTAAATACGTTTTTGGAAATACCAAATACTTTATATTTTTAATGAGCACCAATTTTGCAATAACGACATGCTCAAATTGCCAAAGAGAACGCATGCTCCAAATTTCTTCATCATCAACAGTGGTTTTATTGCCCCAGATATGAGATTGATTTAGGAGATATAGGTAGCCACAGTTTATAAAACCATCAACAATTTTGTAAGATTTGTCCTCGTTTATTTTTAAATCTTCATTTTTATTTAAAATTACAAAAATCAGAAAATATGAAATAAAGTAACAGATATATTTATAATGTCAGTTTTGTTGAAGTATTATGATAAATTTTTATAGGAGTTCTAGGTACCAAAACGGACCGGCGTTGTAAGCCGAGCACATTCAATACTTTTATGAAGAAATTTGTCTGGGCATTTGAAAACATCAAAATTTGTTAAGATATCCGGGGCGACAAAATTCTTTTTTCTTTGTTTTGTAGAGCTGTGGAATTATTACATATGTATATGCACACATAAACGTACATGCAAATGGGGGCGTAATATAAAGTGTTTGTAAATATACAATTTTTTTTACCATTATTAAAATATGTGCAGTCAAAAAACTTTTACTGATATTCTAACCTACTCTACATGTGTAAATTAATTGGGTCGATTGCACCTGCTTAAAGCAGTCCATGTATTGCTTATACTTTCTTAATCAGCAATTTTTTTATTCTGAAAATGGTACACAAACATATGTTGGAACTTAAATGGAAAATTGTATCAATAAAAGTCAGTCAAAGTATTTGTATTCAGTTTTTTGCATTTCAATTTGAGGTGGATACAGTTGCGACAATAAATTAGGTAAAAATCGGTGAAAAATGAAACTTAAATCGTTTATTATTCTTATATTATGGAGTTCATCAGCAAAAAAAGTTTTACCAATCAAGATTTCTACCATAAATCCTTGCGAATTGAATTCCATTCAATCGTTATACTACCTTGAAGCAGATACAAGCTCGAACCATATAGAGCCTACGGAAGAGTTGAAACGAACACAGCGGTCATTTCTAAAAAAGTTTTGGAAGGATATCGGTCTTCAGGATTCTTTTGGCGATGAGGGTTGTGTTACTTGTTGCAACAATAACTACAACGCTGCTGCAAGCGATACTTATGAAAATCAATCAACTTCATCTGCTATCCCTTTCTTTCAACAATTACCTCCTTTATACCCCTTGCAACCGTTTGATCCGTTAAGAATTTTTCAACCATTTCTAAGAACCATAGATTTTAATACTAATGGATTAAATGGTGCGGGTTATATAAACAATTACGATAAAGGCAATACTCCTAAAATAAATGGGGCAGAAAATTCTTATGTTATTAATAACAATTATGAGGAGGGAACTAGCGAAGGTACTGAGTGCAAGAATATAGAAAAATATAAAGCAAAAGAGAACAACGACTACAGCACTGATAAATTTAAAAAAAATGGACCGATATATACAAAAAAAAAAGAGAAAATTTATAAAAACTCATCTGTTAAAAATACTTACCAAAATATAGATTCCGCGCCGATGCAAGAAACTGGTTTATACACAGAGGATAAATCAAAAACAACTCAAACAAAACAAACATATCCTTCATTAAATGGTAGTAGTGGTAGCATTGTTTATCAGCCTATCATATATGTATCCCCACAGTGGCTGGCTGCTCCTCCGCTGCATAATTCTCAACAAAATCCATATCAAGCAAGTGAGGAACCTAATCTACATTATCCGAAAGTGAAACCCCATTCCTATGTATACACAAGTGAAAAAGAAGAGCTAAGATCAAATTTACCTTCATACGATAATTTCAAAGCCGGACCTGGCACAAAAGTGATAAATTCGGATCAAAGATTGTCCTTTGGCATAATTCCATATAGTGCAATTTTATCAAATAAAATTCAACCATCGGTGGAATATTTAAATCCTTACAGTCATAAAAATTTTGTTTCAGAGGGTGCTCCACCCCCTTCACTGTTAGCTTTGTTACCGTCACTATCTTCTGGATACGGGGCGGAGTCACAATGCAGCGGTACAGAAGTGACACCAAGTGATATCGCAATTTATACTATTGTAACACAAATTCCATTCTCATTTGCCCCATCAACTCAAACACATTTATTTAATGCTAATCCGTATTCTTATTTAAATAATATTTATGATCTTTATAGATATAGATCTTTTACGCCACCAATAATATTGACAGAAGCCGACCAGCCATATCGTAGTTGTCCTGAACTTTTCACTGACTATCTAAATCAGGGCAATTATAAACAAAATAATGCCAAAGGCAAAACATTTGTTAATGCTCAACTCATTTCATGTTAGCGAAATATTTACTAAGGGGGATGGGTTATATCGATTTTACGTGAACTTTATTATAATTAAGATATAAATGTACATATAAATGACCCCCCAATTTAGTGGTATTATTGTTAGTTGTGTAAAGGTAGTACGTAAAACGTAATTATAACTCGTTAACCGTACCTTTAAGTTTAATTTATAATTTAATAATTATATCAACAAATTTCAATAAACAAAATGATAATATTTAAAAAATTATTTGTTTGTCCAAGCAACAAATTTTAAATGTGTGTGAATGAGTGTAGCATGTCTTTGAAATCCGCACGCTATGCCTAGAGATTTCACCCCCTTCTAGATAGAATCCATATATATTGTATGTACATGCTATATATATCTAATAAACATTTATTATATTTATATGTATGTATGTTCAACGAATCAAAATTTATGTGCTAATGTACTATATACAATTGTTCAATTACAGCTTCACTTTCACATATAATCATAATAATAAATATGGCAAGAAGTACAAATCAAGCCTCAAAAATATCGCTCATCTTTAAAAAAATAATTTCACGTTTGTATGTACATATATACATAATCGATTCAAATAAAACCATTACTTTCTTTTTATTTATGTGTGCACATGTATTTATGGCTCTAACATTAAAATTTTTCTTTTTATTTACATATGCACATGTATTAATGGCTTTTTATTTAAAATTTGCGTTATTGACATTAAAATTAAGCCTACATATCACCTAAAATGCAAAACTACGTATTATCAAAAAATTCGAAATACATTTTTTATTGATTTCGATTTACTATATCGTACATATAATATAGTATGTATGTACAAACTTTAAGCAGCTGCTGTCGGATATGACCAGGTTATAACTTTAAATTTTGTTTCAATATTAGTAGTTTCTATTTTATACCGTTTTTACCTTCTCATTGAGGTAAATATGCATGTCTCTGCAAAGCTAGTCATTATTTAGACAATTTCAATTCGAATTAATCTTGTGCCGGAAATGTAGGCGTCGAGCTTTTTCAATAATAGTTAAAAATTTTTTAGTCGACTCCTCCCCAGCTCGATTCCAATCTTCGGTTATCGACGCCTGCGTTATCGCAATAGGTTTAGCTGTTTTAAAATTTCTAATTTGACTTTGACTTTGAAATGTGGAGTTTTGTAAATCCTCAATTGATTTTACTGATATTGAGGGATCTACATCCGAAGACCCGGCTAAAGATGTGGTCATAGGCAATGTTGTTGTTTGCATATTATCTAATTGTACTGCTACGGTAGCGTCCTCAATATGTGGACGTAAATAATTAGGAAAATTGCTTAGTGGGAACTCCGTCAATGCTGGCTGGGATGCATATGTTAATGGATTTGATCGCGAAATTTCTGGTATGGGTGTTGTACTCCGAAATATCCCGTGAGCGCGAAATGTGTCCGCGACATGTGATGTTGGCAATAATGCACTTGCTGGACCTAGTAAGCCACATAATCGTGGTATCATACTAAAATAAGGAAACAATTTTGGTTGAAAAATATGAAATAATAGATTATAAGAGGATCCGACTAAATCTTTGGTTTCTAGCTGTTTGAAATACTGATTTTCGCAAACCAACCTTTCATAAGGCGGCCTATTGTACGTTGGTGGTAGATATCTATAACAAGACAATGAATCCGGAAGTATATGTTCAGATGAAGGATTATAACATGTCAGAGTAATAATGATTGGTGGTAAAGTGAACCCCGTTTCAGGTGGACAAACTTTACAACATCGATTCGAAGGTGCTTCTGAGACAGAATTTGATTCTTTTCGGAAATCATCACATTGACCTTCCTGTATACTCTGAATCCATTGGATAGTATGCGGTACTTCATTTTGAATGCTTTCTGCTGAATATTGTTTGTTTGGGTTACTTATTTCACTAAATATTTGTTGGCAAGCAATACTAGTAATTTCTTCTGAATGTGAAATTGTTAATACTGGGGTATCATAGAATGAATTATAAAATTCCTGCATAATCTTATCCAAACTAAATGTCAATGTGTTTTTAAATATTTGCTTTTCTCTATATGATTCCGGCAATGGCTGAGGAAAGCTACCAGCTTCTGAATTTAATTGTATTCCAGTCCAATCCAGTTCCAATCTATTTTCATCAGAATATTTTCTTTTCCATTCATATGGGTTGTCTCTCGGAATAACTGCACTTTGAATAGCGTCATTAACTAATGGTAATTCTTTTACGACGGTTGGCGAAGCCATTTTAATCTCTGGCCCTGGGATAGGTGCATTTAATAAATATTGTAAAGAGTCAGCAGAATTATCATTTGCAAGGTTAAAATCCCATTTCTCAGACTCTAAATTCTTTGTACCGAAGTTAGTAAAATAGTCATAATTTGATTGATTAAGATCACATAGTGCAATAGCATCTTCGTCTACCTTACTCTTTTTCAAATATTTATTGTTAGAATTATATTGTCTTGATGGTATTTTATTGTCCTCTTTGTATTCAACTGTGCTTAATATGAATGGCATCGATGTTGGTAATCTTTGATCATCCCGATAAGAATTCAAGCGAGGTGTAGTGGTTTCTGAATTAGAATGAGTTGGCTGCGTATATCTATTAACGAAGTTCGATTGTTGAGAAGGATTTTGGTTAAATAAAACCTTATATTGGCAGTTCTTTTTATCTTCAGGCCAAGAATTTTCTTTATTTATATTGAATTGTACATTTTCAAAGTGAAGGAAGGGTTGTCGTGCAACATAGTTATTTTTAGCTTGTTCATATACGGACATGGATTTGAAGTTGCGATCGTTGCCTAAGAAAATATTATTTTTAGTATATGGTACTTGTACATTTCCGGGAAGTTTTCCACCTTTACATATAAGATATGGATCCTCTTGTGAGTGACTAGGTTTTATTTCAACACAAATTGTACTCAATGAACTTTTTATTCTTTTTTCAATAGGTGTTTGATATTCATATTCATCATTCACTTTAGCACTGCTACACGCTATAAACAGGATCAAATAAATCACGTCGAAAAATAATAACATAGTATAGTCTTTCTGCGCCCTCATCGTAGTTACAAGTCAAAGCTTTAGCTAAAAGCACTTAGAAATTGTTGAAAAATTTACAGTCACTGAATACGTCAATGGAGTTGGAATTTATGTAGATGTGAAAAAAAAAGATAATTATTTAAAGAATAATTCACTTTTCATTTCTATGAAATGAGTTTAAGATCTAAAAAATCTATTTTTCTACAATGTACTTATATATGAATTGAGATTGGATATTATTATTATTCCAAAGCGATTGTTTCTTAAGAAATATCCGCAATATAATAAAACTCATTTGCTCATAATATAGGAAAACAGCAATGGAATATTAAATCATTTACACAACAACACATGCCATGTTGTTAATGTAAACATATGTACATATGTTCAAGAACCAACAAAAGCTATACGTCGAAACTGAAAAAAATAAATTTTAGCAAACATAGCATTATGTAGAAATCGTATTTATTCCTTAGTTCAATGTATATTGTACTTGTATGTATACATCCACAATGAGAAATGATATTAACGGATACATATTAGCAAATTGACTCTTTGAAATACATTATGACCGCAGAATATTTAACGATAACGAATGTCGATAAGTAAAAAAAGTGTATTGTATATTCATATGTTATTTGAGATTCCCACCGAATTGTATACCCATGTGACTATATCCGTACCATTCTTGCTACGAAATAACAATTACCTACGCGAAGTAGTCTTTCATAATTTTCTTTGCTTTTACAAGCACTATCAACTTCAACTAGTTAAGCAGTTACTACACCGTGTTAAAAAAAAACGTACCGACACCCAATTTTACTATTGTTAAAAAGTTGCAATTTGCTGTGCCAAATGGAAAGCAAATTTTGGCAATTGAAATTTATTAATTAGTTATTGCGGCGTCTAATTTTTTTGTCATTAAAATTATTAAATTCATTCGCAAAATTAATTGAATTCAAAGAAAGCTATTTGCTTTGCAATTACAAGGGCGTTTTTTTCTATTTTCAATACCTACTTTTTGTGTTTACGACGGTTTTTTACATTGTAATATTCACCACGAAAAATATCAAAATTCAGAATTTGCAATTTTCTTCTGTTTGGTACGAATTCTGCACGGGATTGGGATTTTTGGTTAATTTTATGTGTTGCTTAGTTTTATTTCAGAACGGCTGTACTTGTATTCTTAAAACAACCGGTTATTTCTAGCTGCAAATATACTTTTAAATGTAAGGTAACGGGTATATGTAGAAATGTGTTTAGTATTTAAAAATTTTCGAAACTATTATTTTCTTTGTTGCAGCACAAGTTATCAATTGTGAATTAATTTATTCCGAAGTAATTAGGTAGTACAAATACGCTCACATTCCTAAAACAGCATTATCTTTCCTTTTGAATATCGGTAGCCAACGCTCAACGATACAACACTCAGTCGACAAAACTTTCTCTTAGATGTATCCTTCGCGCTGGCGTCGTACTCCAGGTGAACCACCACAAAAGTAAGATCACCTCCGCCTAGCTTCTTCTTCTAGCTTCCGTGGATAACTTCGGGTAATGTAGTAGCTGGTGGTTACTCCCAAATCCCCTCCCTCGCTGTATGAGAGTCCATTGCGGCGATGACGTACCTCTGATATCGACTGGAACCAATATGGACGATCTGGTCAGGAAAGCGGTATTAGGTATACCGCTTAGAGTGTTTGAGGATTTGGGGGTTGACGAGCTTGCTCTTCTTTATGAGGTAGTGTGGGGGGTGAACGATAGGCTACTTAGGAAGTGTGAAAGTTTTATGGTTAGGTAAATAAAGTGGGGGACGCGTGAGTTAACTTCGAAGAGGAGGTCTGTCAAACGATTGAGGCGTTTCAACGCGTTCGACGGTCCAATTCTGACAGGCTTTCCCAGCTTAGGTATGAATTTAGTTGTGTGATTAGGGGGTATAAGGAAATGTTACTCAAAATTAGAGAGCAGGAGTGGAGGAATTTCGTGAGTGAGAATAGGGACAACCCGTGGGGTCAAGTCTATAGGATCTGCCGGGGTCGTAAGAGGGAGGGCATCACCTCTCTTCGCGTTGGTGAGAGAGTGTGTGGAAGCTTTGTTAGGAGCGTTCTTTCCTAGGGCGGAGGTTCAGGTACCTCAAGCACAGGAGGTACCTGTCCCTCCATTAGATGATGGTGAGTTGGGGTACACCTTTGGCCTGGTCAGGTCTAAACGGTTCCCAGGTTTTTATGATTTGAACGGAGAGATGTGTAAAAGCTTGTGAAAGTTTATTCCGGAATACCTGGAGGCCATTTATAACAAGTGCGTGTGGGAGGGTTACTTTCCACGCGAGTGTAAAATTGCTAGGGTTGTGCTGCTTGGACAGCTCGAATCTCTCTGTAAATGTTGTGCGTATGCAGACGACCTTCTCTTTGTGGTTGAAAGTCGATCGCGATTAGAGTTAGAGCGGGCGGGAGGACAATTTCTAGAAATTGTAAACAGTTGTTTAGGTGTGGGGGTTGACACATCGATGGACAAAACGGTGACAATACTGCTTAAGGGCAGATTGTCGCCGTTTCGTCCACCGATTGTCCGGGTGAATGGAGTCAGCATCAGGTATGTGACCCAAGGCAAATACCTGGGGCTGACCATGAGTGAAAGGATGTGTTTAATTTCACACTTAGCGAATCTGAAGGAGTGACTGCAGGCAATCGTAGGTAACGTGACGCATTTTGAGGAGCTATTGGGGCCTTTGACGCCGTGCTGTTTGCACCTTATAGCGTGGTCTATTTGTGGCTTGTGCCACTTATAGGTGTGACTTATGAGTACATCCGAGACGTTAGGTGTGTTGAGGGTAACCAAGACTTCAACTTTTGTCTTATTCTGGGTTTTTTGTTTACTGGGCATGGACCTCTGAATGCATTTTTCATCAGACTGGGTTCACTTGATCGCAGAGTCCCCGATGTACTCTGTCATTAATAATCTAAGGGGTATGGAGATTAGTTGAACTGATGGACGATTAGATGTTAGCGGTTTGATCTTCACTAGTCGGAATACTTAACTGTGAAGGTAGTTTGCCCGTGAATTGTTTAGGCGGCGAAGGCGTTTAACTGGGAATTAGGGTTAGCTTCTTATGTGAAAGGTGTGTACGTGTAATGTGCGTATGGGGTCTAACCCCTGGTTACCAGTCCAGAGCAATATGGAAGCTCAACTGGTAATAGCTTCGGCTACGAGGTCTGATATGAGACTTAATTCTGGCACCACGGGGAGAAGGGACCCTTGGAGTTCGCTCAAACCTGCTCATGCGGACTGGCCCTTCGGGGAGTATCGTGGTGGCTGTGGTTGATACCCAAATGAGGGAAGAACTGCCGTTTTGTCAGATGAATGTGGAGTTGCATTGCAACCGGGTGCCGGAGTCAAAGTACGGCAGAAGTTTTAGATAGGCCTCGGCCCCTACCAAGGTAGTTAGTGTGTCCATTTCACACTTCCAATCGGTACTGAAAAATGCCTGTCATTTTCGTGGCGCTGATCAACGCATTGATTTGATCCACTGTGATTTTGAGCACCGTGGGGTAAGACTGTCGTCAGCAAGTACCCACGTTAAACACACCGGACGTTGCCCCGAACCTTTCCTCCCAGCGGGCAGGGGTTAGAATTTGCCCGCGGTAAGTTATGCCTGTCGTAAGAGGCGACTAAAATCCAAATGCACTATGATAGTTTTTAAGCTTTGCCACGAAATTTCAGCATAGTTATGCCAGAAATAGTGCTATAATATTCAGCTTGAACTGATATTATAGACTTTAAATGAGATTCCAAATAAAAAGACATTTGAAGTTCAAGCTAAAAATGTCACCAGTCATTGATTGGTGCTCAACTGGCAATAGCTAAAACTTTCATTTGGAATGAATGCACTATGACACAAACATTTGCTTGAGGCATTGGATAGGATATTAAAAGACATAACGGCAAATTATTTGGTGGCACTCTGTTACGTCTTTTAGTAATTTCAGACAGACACTTCCCGTTATTCCACCTTCAACGTACGCTAGTAAAATCAACGCTTGCTTTAGATCATACACACTTTCAAGATCCATCTGCTCCACTTTTCTCAAAACAATAGTTAGATATTGCCAATATCTAACTGAATTTGGCAATATTTAACTGAAGTAACTGTACATGAAAATACTTGATGCATAAATTACCGACGGATTTTTGCTTAATTATAAACCCACAAAATACTCGATACATACTCGGAACATATTTCTCGATGTACACACAAATTATAAAAATCTTGAGTGGTTGGCAGATCGATTTTGGCAGCAATAAAAGTGGACGTCAATGGATGAAATACAAAGATACAACAGTTGTTGCCACAGGACTTGGTGTCATACAAATCTATCGATGCCAATTGCTCACAAACGCCATCGAAAGTTCTTCTTGCTCTTCTTCGAATCACTACTGTAAATATCTAAATTTTCTTCTTGCACAGCTTATTCCTTTAGCTAATCATTAGAAAAACTAGTAACTGTTTCTTGAAGTATTTTTTGACATCTTCCACATTTACCAGTGTCCAGTCTTCGCTCTTACTTTCTTTGTTTTCTACGTCATTCATGCTATTGTATTTTTCCAAAATTCTATTATTGATTGCTTCTCTTCTATAAATATTTTTTCAAACATCTGCTTTAATGTTAGCCGCAAATAATAAGCCCTAAAATTTGACCAAGGCGTTATGGTCCAGTGGTTGAATTGATGTATGTGTATTTGTATCACCATGCAAGTTAAATCAAATAAGATATTAAATATTTCTTCACAGCCGTGTGGCTAGCTTGACTTTATTATATTAAGTTATTAATAAAATTTTAACTATACCTAGTCTACCTTAAGTGGAAGAGACAACAAAGTGCTGACCCAGAAACTAATTGTTTACGCAACTAATTTTTTACGTAACTTGGTAGTCCGTTGATTGTTTACGCAACTAGCGTCGTTGGTGTTAATTACTGTGTGAGGCAATTGTTGTTGTTGCGTTGTCTCAGCAACACCAAACTATGTGAACTCCTCCCCTCCTAAAGAGGGACGTCCTCGGGCATCTGTTGGCTGTCAATGGCGGCTTATACATCTCTGCTTTGTTGTTTTTTTTTTGCAGTGACGCTGGATATTGTTGGCCTAGTTATGAGTTGCTCCTGGATCTTGCAGATGTGGTGTAAGTTTACTATATTTAATCTCCGTAGATACGGCAGACTTAGTATCTTCTGATGATTTGTTATATTCAAACGAGCTGTTGCCGCCGAACTTATCGATTTTTTCGGTACACCATTTACGTTTTTGTGGATGGAACCATTAACTTGTAGTTTTTCATCTAGTAATACTTTAATACGTGACACAAACGTGCTATATCATCAACCAATATTTTTCAACTATGAGTCTACGTGAAGCGACTTGCACGCTGACTTCACGCTGAATAAAATACACGATAATGATGTCATTGTAAGGTCGTTCA